GGTAATGAGACGAACAAGTTTGGTTACGCAGCACATCCTTCATCCCACCAAATTCTGCTCGACTTCAAAGACAATTTACGCGATCAAGTGTCATGGATAGTTGCTGTTCAGTTATGAACCACTAGCTGATAAGTGTCCTCCCAAAGAAAAATGCAAAGAGAATCTCCAAGTATACCATAAACAGAATCGCTTCCTGTCAGTCGCACCGCCCTGCGATCTCTGTGCAACCCCATGTTCACGAGTCTTTTTTTTGCAACCAAAATGCTGACTTTCACTTTACTATTTCCCCTTACTGTTGTTTATTCGTTTAGGTGAAATCTATTTTCGCAGACACCAGTCTTTATCTTCTTGGGCTGACCGTTTTCGTCTCGTCAGTCCATCTCCTTTTCGATGTGTTATCATTCAAGAATGACATATCCTTTTGGCGCACCCGCGAATCCATGGTTGGGCTTTCCACGAAGTAGGTCTCTACGTTGTCTAGATTCGAAGCAGTACGATACGGTTTTATCCAAAATGTTGGTCGTGTGCTGAAACCATTTCTATAATTTCAGGGCTTTGTTGTGGCGATGTTTTTCATACACAGTCATTTTCTTCTACCTAAAGGATCAGCATACCAGTATGCTAGTGATTGCTCCCGCTGGAATTTCTGTTTTGATTGAATTCTGGAAGTTGAAAAAAGCTTTCAAGGTATGGTGCCATTTTTTTATGTGGCAGCAAGATCTGTTAGTCATCAAAGTAATTTAATAAAGCTGCAGCTCTGTGGCGGTTTGAGTGGATTGTAGTAAAGCTTCTTCTGAGTACCAGCTAGACCCCATTGTGTCCACCTGGACCATTACCTGAAAATTTCCTCAGTTGGAACTGCTTGAGCGCGGTCTGAGGCGAAATGTAGTGTACACGTTGCCGGCCATCTAATCTTACAACGATCCACTTTTGAATAGCGGCCAGGTTGGGCATAGTGACTCCCCCCCCCTCAACCGGCTCACTTTTTGGGAAAACAGAACATCAAGATTCTAAGCGTGTGCCGTTGCCGCGTAACTCGCCCCCGCCCCCCCCCCTCTCCCACCTAATTCCAGTACCACAACCGATCGACAACTGCTCGAGCAGATTGAACGATCCCGGGACGAACCCCAGACGGCAGCGCGTAGTAGGATCGCCACTTGCCAGTCACCTACTCCGCCATTGCTACGCCTTTACCCAAGAATATGCGACCATATGCACCTGAATTTCCAACACTGTGGTATCCCGTTGCAACCCTCTCGAGGATTAACATCTGTGCCGTGTGAGGTGCTCAGCAGCTTCGTGTTTCGTCAGAGTAATCTAGGTGTTAATTTAGCGCTGTCTTAACTCCATAAGGTGACGTTCACCCACCTAATGGCTTGCGAGTTTGGCGAAACAAATCGCAGCTGAAGAAGAACAGACAGACGCGTTCGATCAGCTGAAGGTCTATGAAAGTACTCTGGCGACTTGATGTCACCTAACCATCCCTGGCATTGGCAGGGCCATTTACAGGTACACAGAGTTAAAAAGCGTCGCCCGCTATTTAGCCTTAATGTTTTGGCGACAGCACAAACTGCGGACAGTCCGCTTTGGACCGCTAATCCTACAACGGCGTTTTTCATCGGACAAACGGCTACGTCTTGCAAGATTGTGAGCATCAGTCGCTTGCATCGACCAAGTAGCACCAGTACGGGTCGACTTGGGAAAAAGACTTGACGCGCAGGGTCGCTCTCATGTTATGTATTTAATTCCTGGTGTGGATGGTGCGTACAGGGAGGCTGTCGAATGGTGCAGTTTTCATCTTTCATTACACTACTGGGGTACTACTGACTGTAAGTGCCACCTGATCCCCTCCTCTGCAGTCCGTTTTGCACCGGACAACTCGTCCAATTCGTTCATTTTTACCGACGTACTTGCTCGACCGACATTGGCAGGACGTCATCATAAGGATAAGGATAAAGTTCTCGCCGTTGATCAATCCTTCTGTAGGATCGATACGCGTTCAGAATCATAGTGGCTCATTGAATGCGTTATGGCCTGACTTGCGGTGGCCAGCCGATGTACAAGTCAGTGTTTTTATCCTCCCAGACGAATCTGGTACCAATTTACCGTCCCCGGGGGTAGAAGGCTTGGTTGGCCTGGGCGGGTGTCGACCCGGGATTCGAACCCAGGACCGCGCGAGTGGTGAGCGCGCCACTTGTCACTACACCACCTGTTTATCTTTGTCGATGTGCTTGCTCAACCGCCATTGGCAGGACGCCATCATAGACGTCGAATTCTGTACTGATGGCCAGAATAAGTACTTCCGCCTTTTCTGAGTCAATTTCTGAGCTATTTCGCCCAACTATATTACGTACTGGGGATAATACGTTTTTCTAGAAACTGTTGTTTATTGAGGTTGATCAAGTACGTCAAACAATTTGATGAGCGATATGGACGAGTTTCCGACGAAGGTGGCAGTTGCGGCCAGCGCGCCCCAGTAGTAGTATGGCAGTTGACAGCTTTGCCATTCGACGTGCATTCTTACGTACGTCACCCGGCTTGTAACGCCTATTCTGCTGCCTCTGGGCAGTTACGCTCCATACACGCCACGCCACTGACGTGGAAAGGGGGCATGCGCTGAGGGTTGGCCGCAGCAACTCTAGTCGTCTGCGCTTTTCCTAAGCTGACCCTAGGAGAGCAGACACTAGCTCATCGAGAAGCGCCGACGTGCCCTCACATGCCTTCCT